AAGACTTACATGAGGCTTTTAAAATGGTATTCTAGCCTCTAAAATTTACGTTTAATTTGGTTAAATTCAGATAAAGTTGTGGTGGGATTATTTACTCTATACTTGTTTGGCTCATGGTGCTCTTGAAGAAAAATAAAAACACAGAGCCACTGGGTGAAGTCTGGATTTCATAGTCAACAACTACACTTTCGTTTTAAGACAGGATGCTGAGCATTAGTAATGAGTTAAGAACAAAAATGTAAGTGTAATCTGCTTTGCTGGGCCTAGACTGTATGCCAAGAGTCCTGGAAAAAATTCATATTTATATATTTCAGACACAGGCAAACTTGTTGTATTGATGCCACAATTAAATTTATTTTAAAACCAGTCATAATAACAAGTAACTAAAAACAGACAAGTATGCCATTTGTTGCTTGAAAATTCTTCCATGCACGCCAAGAAAAAGTTCCTATGAGCTCCTAAGAAGCTGTTTCGAGACCTCTTGGAATGTGCGACAGGACATCGTACTCCAGGATATCCTCACCTTCTGTCTGTTGGTCCTGTGGTTTCCTTTTAATCCCTTCAGCATCTTGCTGAAGTGAAGTTTATAAACACAAGTTTGGAAACAGATCAACAATACCGTCAAGCATATAAGCCACCAGTCTGAATCCTTCAGCCAGCTTCCACTTCCCAATCTGAAAATCATGCTGCACCCCTATATAGTGTGAAAACTTTCACAATACGGTAGTTTCTAGATGATCTCTAGACCCTACATCTTTAGATGAGGAGTGAAATGAATAGTTAGAAATCAAAGGTGATTAGACTGTAAGCAAAACCAAATATAATAACAACTTCTTCCTATCAGCAAATGATTGGCGCATGTTCTCTGATTTAACTATTTGCATCCAAATAAATATTACAGAGTGTAAATTCCTTTCAGTTTTTCCTCTCTTAAAAATATGAAAATCCAAAATATTTAATATACATCTACCTCAATTGTACATTTTAGTACCTGTAACTCATGATTTTGAAGCCTTGAGTCGTATGTGGTAAATTTACATAATCATACCTTTTATGAAACATTTCATGAAGATTTAATAAAAATTCATTCATAAAAGATAAATATACTTTTAACCATTCTTAATGGATACACAAACTCAAGGGAAAATGAATTTCAGAAAACTGTAACTAAGCCAGGCGTTGGTGGCGCACGACTTTAATGCCAGCACTCGGGATCTCTGTGAGTTCGAGGCCAGCCTGGTCTCCCGAGTGAGTGCCAGGATAGGCTCCAAAGCTACACAGAGAAACCCTGTCTCGAAAAACAAAACAAACAAAAAAAAAAAATGTAACTCTTCCACCAAAGATAACATTGATTTGTAAATTATATGAAAAATAATCTCAAAAATATGAGGCATGTAAATTTGACACTCTTATAATAAGTGTGTGTGTGTGTGTGTGTGTGTGTGTGTGTGTGTGTGTCCATTCCCAAATTTTCACTTATTTATCAAGCAGTCTCAATCATTCATTTGATCTGAACCATGCGTAACTTTTTCTGAACATTGTTAGGATGCATTCCAAATTTTAATGAAAACAATTTTTCTTGTTTTTGCACTAAAGATTTTTAATAAGGCTTCAAACTTTGTAAGTCTCTTTTTTCCTTCATTTTATTTCTCTAAAATAAAATCACCACCCAGACGTCCCACTAGTAGGCTATCATTTGTAGGTAGCATGCCACACCTGAAAACCCAGCTCTGCAGAAATGTTTCCACTTAATATTATTAACAGCTTGAATCCACAAAATCTTGTCAGCTGCTCTCCTAAGTCCAAACATATCTCTCTTCAGTTAAAGTGGCAAGACGGCTTTAGGGAGGGAAATCTCTGAGATTACCATTGTGTTCAACCGTCTGCTTGGCAGAATAAGGCAGCAAGCGATGCCAGCTCTTGTGATTCCCAACAAACCACAGGCAATTGAGGGCCTGGCTTGACGTGGTTTGCTCGTCTAGTTTTATTCATATGTCCTTTAAAAAAAAAAGGCATTTTTTTGGGCTGGAGAGTTAGCTCAGCAGTTAGAAGACTTATTGCTCTTGTAGAGAGTCTGCATTTGACTCAAAGTACACACACCATGGCTCAAAACCATTGATAACTCTAGTTCCAGGACATCTGACTTCCTCTTCTGACCTCTGTGGGCTCAAAAAGACTTAGTTTACTCACTTTGGCATTGGTGGTAACTTATTTTTACAGTTTTAGATGGTGTTAAAATTGCATACTATAAGTGGGGAGCATTTTCTTTGTTTAGTTTGTCTTTGGCATAAGCTCTCATTCTGCAGTCCAGGCTGTCTTTGAATTCATGGCAATTCTTCTGCATCAGCTTACCAGAGAAGTGGAATTCCAAGCATGATTCACCATACCTTAATGAACTAGTGAATTGAAAGAACATCTGGGTGTCTAGAAAGTTTTTTTCAGTGTTCTTCCGGAGAACTCAGTTTCAGATCCCAGCACCCATAAAGTTTAGGGGGTCTTGTGCCCTTTTCTGACTTCTACAGGGACAGGATACATGCAACACACACACACACACACACACACACACACACACACACCCACACACACAGCGACAGAGACAGAGACAGAGACAGAGAGACAGAGAGACACACACAGAGAAAGACACACACAGAGAGACAGACAGAGAGAAACAGAGCGAGAGACACACACACAGAGAGAGAGAGAGAGAGAGAGAGAGAGAGAGAGCCAGCTAAAACATCCTGTGGCTAAGCCCTTACTCTAAAGGGGGTAGATAGGGAGGACAAAACCGGAGAACCCCATCTTTGCTGTCTTTTTTTCCTGTCTTTGTTTCCTCTGTTTCCTACCCAACATGCTCCCCCCATACACACACACACACACACACACACACACACACACACACACAACTCTGTGCAGTACAGCCTCCTGAAGAAGCACTCTTCTCAACTATGTGCAGTACAGCCTCCTGAAGAAGCACTCTTTGAAAGTTGAGCCTCTCTGTTCAAGGATGAATTTGGAGACTTGAACATATGAAGCTGGTCTTAAAACAGTAAAGGCTGGGTGGGTTTCACAGATGCTACTGTTTGGTACCTGGCCTACTAAGGTGTCCTTAGACCTGTGGCCTGAGCCAACTCTAGCTTTCCGCCTGCCTTACTGGGCCAGTGGCCACTGGAAGCAAGTGTGTGTGGCATCTAGGAGCAAGGCCTCCTGCATCCAGTGGATTGTGGTCCAGGTACGGGGATGGAGGTAGGGGTAAGGCACAATGCACGTCTTCCGAAAGCCACCCTTGGCCTAGCCCCTAAAACCTGTGCTGGGAGGTTATTTGTATGTGTTCGTATTTATTTTGGTTTTCTGAGATGGTGACTTGTTGTGTAGACTAGACTGGCTGGGAAAATGGTGATCCTCCTGCCTCAGCCTGTGAAGTGTTAGATTATAGTTTGTACATGGTCCAAACATTCTAACTTGTAATAGTCAGTTGAGGATTCCCCCAGGATGGCTTCACATTTATAAGCTGAATTAGAGCCCCTTTGTTGAAAACCACAAACTGAAAATCCAGTACAGAAGCAATTTCATTTCAAATGCTCCACTTCAAAAGTTAATTTTTCACAATTGAATGAGAATTGTGAAAAATTCTGGGGCTTAAACCGGCAGATAGCAGGCTTCTGTTCACTTTCATCCATCCATGATGCCCATTCCTCCGATCTGGGTTCTCAAAAGCCACACCTGGGCCCCAGCCTCCAAAACTAGTTCTCAACGTTTCCTTCAGGCTCTTCCCATCTAAAGGACGTCTGCTTGACCTTTCCACGAGGGAACCTTGGGTCAATTCACTCTACACCACATCCCCTCCCCCAAGGGTTTCTGATGGAGCTTGAAGCAGACACCGGGAAACCTGCCCTCCACCCCGCAATAAGAGCTCACCCGCTGGCATAGCTGGTCAAGAAAAGGAACCACCAAGGGGCTTGTTTCACACTGTCTCGTCTTAAACGAAACGGACCTTCACAGCTTTTATAACCAACAAAGGAGACAACCTAAATACTCTGACTGCAATGCCTACGTGCGACTTAGAACTAAGGAGTCCCAAATGTTAAGGGACTTTAAAGGACCAGGTCGAGACCAGGGAAAAGGGGGCTGGGTAGGAGTTTTTGGAATCTTGGAAATTAGTTCACACAAAACCGACGCCCTGATCGAGTTAGTTCATTAAGGGAATCAATGAGAATAGGATGGGATCGAACTTTAGAAGGCCAGAACGGAACGACCCAAGAAAAAAGAATTAAATTTGAAGGGGGTGGGGGGGGCTGCTGGGGACCGAAATGACAGTTGGTGAAAGCGCACAGGAGATGGAACTGGGGAGAGGTTGCAAGTCTTATCCACTGCCGATCACTTCCCCGCGGAGTCCTACGACTCCTTTCTTAGCCCATCTGTAACAACCTAGATCCAGCGAAGATTCCAAAAGATAGCTCTGCGCCTCCCCAAACATCTTCTGGGAACTGCGGGGAGAGGTTCTGACTCAAAACCTGCCCGCGACTTCCCCGCACTCTGCCCGGACCCGCACCCTAGCTTTGTCACTGTTCCTGTTTCTGCCTCTTTGTCCCTCGTGGAAACAAGGGGAGGGGAAATCGCTGCTCTGGGAGGGAAGCTTGGGGCCCCACTTTCAGGATCCACAATCTCTGACACCCAGGCCACAAGCTTCCCGCGAGGGAGTCCCGGGAAACTCTCCGACAGCGTAGCTGTCTTTGGTCCCCGCCCCCTAGCAGCGTCAGCGAGCCAGGGGCTGCGGGGTTTAAATGCGCACAAGCGGGAGTCTGGGTGCCTCTGCCCAGGAGCGCCGCCCGGCTGGAACCGCGGAGTGGGAGGGGAGCGAGCTTGCCGCATCCCCAGCCCAGCACTGCCCCGCGGCCCATGACTCTGGGGCTCCGGCGCCACTGTCGCCGCTGCAGCATCCTTGAGCTCCCCCAAAACAGCGTTGATGAGAAACCACTCAGCTGCCTCCGCGGCGGGGAGCCATGAGCTGTCTGGATGTTATGTACCAGGTCTACGGTCCTCCGCAACCTTATTTCGCAGCCGCCTACACTCCCTACCACCAGGTATGAGTCTGTTCGGGTGGGGCGGGGACCCGTGGAACACCCCAGACTATGAAAGAACCTTTACACCAAAGGTCGCCTGAGCCTCCTCCCGCCAGGGGCGACAGGCAGGCAGGCAGCCCAAGACGCCGGGATGCCGGGACCGCAGCTAATTCTCTTTAGCTGGTCCAACTCTCTTGAGAGGGCACGTAAGCCGTGCTAATGTGCAGCCAGGCCTTCCCCAGAAGAGTTAAATGAAATGGTCCCACTGAATTTTCTTCCTAGTCTGGTGCGAGTGGACAGGGCTGCCTGCAAAGCTCACATGGGGAAATCCGAACTTTGGTATTGACCATAGGAATAAAACCAAAAAAAGAACATCAAAAGCCTGCCTGTGTCGTTCTAAGATGGAGAGCCCCGAGATCATCCCGGGAATAATCTCCATTTCAGTTCTCGGGCGGCTGGGTCAACTAGCTCTGGAACTGGTGGATTTGTTCTTCAGGAGAAACGCGCAGAAGGCACGGGCCTTGTGATCTGTGCTTTGCCGAGTTCTAGGAAGCATTATTCCGGTGTGATAGACCCGCCGGGAGCTCGCCTTTCTGTCACCCAAGTGACAGAATGAGACAACCTAAAGTCTCTTTTAAGATCATTTAACCCCGCTCCTGCAAACTGTTCAAGTTTCGTTTGATTCTGCCGATTTCTGATTTCTCTTTACCTCGGGCTGTGTGTATAGACAAGTACTGTTGCTTTCCGTGTCCACAGAGAAGGTAGCAACACAGTATTCCAGGGAAAGAGCAAAAACACACACACCTGGGGCAGCAGAATTCTGGACCAGGCTGGAAAACAAGACCTGGTCATCTCTTTGGGGAACAGTGAAACCAATTGTAGTTTTTGAGTCAATACTTCAAACAGTTTTATAATGAAATGAGTATATTTTGCTTTAGCCTCCCCCCCCCACACACACACACAATCACACACGCCCGGGAAAACTTTCCAACCTAGAGTTTGTAGTCCTAATTTGTGTTACATTTAGGAATCATCACAGCTTCTCATTGTAACCGAAGTGGAAACGTGGCATTCAGGGTGTGGTGATGTTGTTAAAAACTGGAATCCCGGCTTCAGAGATCAGGGGCCCATTCCCAGTGTGGGACTACGGACTGCAAAGGCTATAGTTAGATCTAGCTGGCCCTCTCTCCTGGACCCCAGACCTGTCTACTACATAAAATCTACTTTGTATGACTCTGCCCTTCCCTTCAAGGCCACCTCTGCCTTCAGAATTATTTAGCTCTATATCCAATCGATGGCTCATTTCTAAGACAATGTTCTCAGTAGCTGTATCTGGTCTTAAAGTTGCACTGATACAGTGATTAGCTCAGGACCCAACCTTCTTCGTGGTCCTTTTTATAACTTCTGTTTGGAGATGCTAATCGGCTGATGACTTTTCTGTTTGGGAATGCTAGTGTGCTGATGTCTGCCGACTTTTCCTTACTTAAATGATCTGTTTTAAAACAAATACAGAGAATACGCCTGCGGCCCCAGCACTCGGGAGGCTGAGACAGGAAAATCTTAGTTCAAGGCCACTCTCAGCTACAAGGCAAGTTTCAGGATAGCCCAGCCTGTATGAAACCTTGTAGCAAAACCAATCAAACGAATGCAAACAACTGACACCGACTTTGGAGATTTTTGTAGGTGCGCATACAAAAATCAACTTCAATTTATTTTTAAAAAGATGCACAATTTTCCCAAGTCATGATTCTGGAACTCTTTCTTATTTTCTGTGGCAATTCATTCCTGATTGTGTCATGTGGAATCCTTTTTTCAGTGTTGTTTTTCACCATGAGGATGCCTAATTTTGTGGCTTGTGCATCTGCCCTGAGTTCTCATGTAGAGAAGAGCCGCCAAGTTAATTAACTTGGGTGCCCGTTATCCTTACCGTCTGACTTTAAAAATTCTGTTTGCCCTGAGCGCAGCTCTGAAAAAACGAACTCAGCTTACAGTCCTCACACTCCGGTTTGGTTTTTCTTACTTTGTTTCATTTTGTTCTCTTTGATTGATTGGTCGATTTACTGTCTTCTGAGATTTTCACCCCAACATTTTAAGAGTGTTTTCCTGCAGTCTAGCTGCAATTCTAGGGAGAGAGTTTTTCTTTATGAACTGTTGCAGGCAGACAGGCAACTGTGTTGTCATCTATTGCTGGGTTTTTGCAGCAGGCACAAGGCTTAGGCAGAGATGGCTGTTACTCAATGGATACCTTAGCGATGAACCCACATTAACCATCTCTTCAGAGATTGATTTTTAACTCTTTCTCTCTCTGGACAGAAACTAGCCTACTACTCAAAAATGCAGGAAGCCCAAGAGTGCAACGCCAGCCCCAGCAGCAGCGCCAGTGGGAGCTCCTCGTTTTCCAACCAAACCCCAGCCAGTGTAAAAGAAGAGGATGGCAGCCCTGAGAAAGAGCGCCCACCCGAAGCTGAGTACATCAATTCCAGATGTGTACTCTTCACCTACTTCCAGGGTGACATCAGCTCTGTGGTGGATGAACATTTCAGTAGGGCCCTGAGCCAGCCTAGCAGCTATACCCCCAGCTGTACCAACAGCAAAGCCCACAGGAGCTCCGGGCCCTGGAGAGGTGAGTAGGACCTCACCTCTACCCTTGAGAAGGGTAGGGGGAAGTTTATCTGCCTGCAGCCTACCTCCAGGGTCCCAAAGTACAGCCAAAAGAGCAGTAAGCTTAAGAAGGGGGTGAAGGGCATTTGATTGGGGGGAGGTATGTGCATTTAGGAGGGAAAGGGCATGGATGTGAGCTCTTCTCTACAGAGGAAGGTGGTGGCCTGGAGGCAGTGAAGGGGAGACCGGCCTTGGAAGTGGAGGCCTTAGATGTGTGCATTGGCTCTACCAATTCCTAGCAATATGACCTTGGGCATGTCTTTTAACCTCTTGGAGGTCAGTATTTACTGGTCTCTAAAATTAGAATAACACTTGCCCTCCTAACCATCCCCAGAGAAGTCTAAAAGAGTCAAAACTTGAAATGTCTGTTGATGTCCTGTGGAAACCTGAGGTTTCCACACACAACCGAGCAGAACCTTCACCAACAATCTACAAGGCCCCTTCCCAATTTCTGCAAATATGACCACTGACCTCCCTGCAAGCAAAGTTCCTAAAACTTGCCAGGTTTCAAATACTTGAGAAACCTTAAAGCAGAAATTCTTTATAATTCAAGGCAGTGATGAAGCAAAGAAACAAAACACCTTTAAAAGTTTCGCGAAACAGAAATCTTTTTCTATACTCCCCACTGACAACCCGTCACCTGAATCAACCTTAACTGCAATTCCCCTCTATTACCGACAATAAGAAAGTTTAGAAAATCATTCATAAACACTCTCAGGCATCTTAGTCTTTGATGTGTAACTAAGTTGAGAAGTGAAGACTTTGTTAATAAAAAAAAGAAAGAAAAAGAATTTTCATTTGTTATTTATGCAGGAATCACAACCATTATTACCTCCTCATAGTTTCCATAGCATTATCTGGAATTTTGCACAAACCTTGCCCTTAGACAAGATTTCAAAGCATTCGGTTTAGATACAAAACTTCGTCTCTTTTTTTTTTTTCTCTTGCTGCCTAAATTCGTTTTCAACAGGATGTTTGTTCTTCATTCAGAAGGTGATTTCCAAATTGTTTTAGATTTTCTAGTGTGTGGTACCCATGCTTTCCCCAGAAGAGATGTGCCACAAAAGGGCTTTGAGTCAGATGTCTTTCTCTCCTTCTCTACCAAAGGCAACAAACGTGACCTAGAAGCTCTTCTCTTATGCTACCACACTCTAGGGAGTCGACAGCGATACTGATGACTGTATTATTATCATTATTATTATTACCATACATTATTCCTGGCATCTTCGATTTGATCAGAAAGTTTGTTCATGAAAACTTGGGATTTTTTTTATAGTTGTCTATGCAAATAACACGGCTGCTCTTTTAATATACCTACTTCGCTCATCTCCTTGAATTCTCCTAAGAGGAGGAATATTTGAAAGGAGACCTCTAGAAAACACCACTAATAATAAGCCTTGGAAGTCTATCCGTGGTCTCTCAGTCTAACAGACACTTAACCTTGAAGCAGAACAGTTTCTGGAGCGGGGAGGGTTGAGACTGAGACGGGGAGAGGGTAGTGGGGTAGCTAGATCTCAGAAAGAGGGACAGGGGTCTTCAGCTGCACCTGGAAAAGAGAGGTCGAGTCTGCCCTGGACCAGAAGGAAGAGGGCAAGCTCTCTTCTCCCAAAATCTCCAACTTCCTCCTCCATCAGAAATTCTGTTGCTAGCCCATCTAGACAGCTGGGTGATTCAGATGTCCTCTGGGGGGGCTTTCCGGGACCCCGCCTCAGTGCTCTGGCTTCATTGTGATCCACAGCAGGCCTCTTAGAAGACAGCCCAGAGGTGAAGGCCGCGGGTTCTGCCCCTCCGCGGCCTTCCAGCCCTAGATCCCTAGGCCCCCGGTCGGGTTGGCTGGCGCGGCCTAGGTGACACACTCCTTTTTCGCTTTCCTCCCACCCCGGGCCAGCAGAAGGCACCTTCCCGATGAGCCAGCGCAGCTTCCCCGCCTCCTTCTGGAACAGCGCGTACCAG